GAGGGGTTTGACTGTATATTAGTTTTAAAAAGGCCAATAGTATAAAAAATCTAACTTAAATACAAATAAATCTAACTTGAATGCAAATAAATTTAAACAAAACAACTTAAATACAAATAAACCTATTTTATATATAAGTAAACCTAACTTAAAAGTAAACCTAACTTAAATACTAATAAACCTAATTCAAGTACAAATAAACCTAGCTCAGATACAAATAAACCTAACTTAGATATAAATAAATCCAACTCAGATATAAATAAACTAATTTAGATACAAATAAAACTATCTTGGTAACGAATAAACCTAATTCAGATATAAATACTATATTTTTCAACATATTTATCTGGGATATTTTTCTAGCCCATTTTAGTACCTAAAATATGTTTGTAAGAGGGTATACTGTATAAGCGCTTCTATGTTTTGGTATGTTTTACTATTATATACATAAGTATAGTACTCCCATATTTATGTACCCAGGTATAAATCAAAGTTTTACACTCTAAATTGCTGCATAGTATGGTCCACGAAAGGTATATATGTTAGGGAAATATAGTAAACCTAACTCAGATACAAATAAATCTAACTCGGATACAAATAAATCTAATTTGGATATAAATAAATCTAACTCAGATACATGGATTTATTCGGGTGCATAATACAAGTACTTCTTATTTAAGATATTCGTTGCAAGGCAACGGGTTCAAACCTAGTTTGTTAGGTTTTTATATTTTACATTTACACCACAGTAAAACAAGCAAAATAAAGTTTCACATTAATTAAAATAAAGCTCGAGCTCGTGAAAAAATTCAGTTCATTAATCCTTTAAAATTTTTTTTTATGACTATGAAACAGTATTAATTACGAATCTGAGGAATATGTCCAGAATTGCGCCTTCACCAACTGTTATTTTACCGACTAGTAATTCAATCGGCGCTACTTAGAATGACAACTCAGCATATTATTATATTATTTGATATTTGGTCAGATGAAAAATGATTGTGGGCAAAGAATTATAGTCCTGTTTTGCATTATTTTTATCGCCACTGTAATTGCATTGAGGGTACGATACATACTTATTCTTTAGTACCAATGTTCTCCGGTGCAATGCAACGACCAGTTTCAAATTCATATAATAAATGTGCATCTGATGCTAAACTTTTTGGTTATTTTACTCTAAATTCTAGTCAAGGTTCGCAGTTAGTGTAGCTATTAAAAGAGTTTTAGTAGTTTAAATGGGGATCGCAAATTTTAGCATAAATTGTAATGATTAGGTAAAAAGATACCTATACCAATTCATGAAATTAGCAATTTAATAGCAAAATGCATATATAATAAAACAATTAAACAAAACAATAAAAGTTGAATTTTTAAAAAAATAAAAAATGTTTGTTCGTCATCTCTAATCTCACATAGTGATTTGCTATCATTTGGAATAGAATGTCCTTGAGATTATACCATACTAAACTTAACGTTACTAAAGATGGGAAGAAAACACTCGTAAATAAATCATTTTATTTTAACGAGCAAGAGAACCGATTAGTATCTCGATTCATTTGGTCGCAACAGAACGGTTTAACACTCATTTTTGTTTAATATAATAAGTCACGGAGAATAATAAGTTATCAGGCAGGCGCTGCCTCATAACGGATTTATTTGATCGAGGATTTAAGATCAGTCTAAGGAATTGAATTCTGAAGGAATTAAATTTTTTAGGCTGATCTTAAATCTTCGACCAGATAAATAGGACTTATCAGACGGATTTATCCAGTGGATTATGGTTTGCATGCCAAATAAAATTTATTCTTCGGTAGAGATGTAGTTAATGTTGTCCGTCGGACAATAAATTTATTTGGTTTCACAAAGTATGAATCTTGTAACACAGACCATCTTAGAACTTGATATAAGCTAAGGGTAAAAATGGAAAAGTGGCCCAAATTTGGCCTTTGTTTGACAAAATATTGACGAAATTGGTATCGACATCGAATAACGATAACGATAAACCAAGCTATTGTATCGGACGCACGGAAGAAAGCCTCCAGTCATTTATATCGGAACTTTTATTATACAAATCTAGCACTTGTATTACTTGACATGCTTGATGTGTAATAGAAATTTTGATGATTTAATATTCTTTTTATGCTAGGTAGCCGGTGAATAAGAACATAATATGTATATTTAGAGTCTGCTTCCCTTGAAGAGGCTATGATTATTATTGCACTTCTAGAATACGTAGTGAAAATACGATAATTTAAATTCATAAAAGGAATTTTAACAATGGTTAAAATGTTACAAAGATAAACCATATGCTCACATATGTGCTTTACTGGTACATAGTGTTATGACAAAAATTACGTACGTACTATATAGTTAGTTTGAATATGGTAATACATGTAAACCCAAAATGATATGGCACACAAACCAATTTTATACGTAATTGCGTACTACACATATATGTTTCGGAGAAGCTTGCCGAAGAAATTATAAATAGAGTTACGATTATGTATGGGAGACATCTTCTTTTACTATTTTGTTATTGCCAATTTGTTGTCAAGATTTGATCTTATGATTTGACATTTCAACTGTGTTCAACAAATAAGTATAATTGTTTAGAGTATTAAAAAAAAAATGGAGAATGAAGATGTTATCGAATCAATCAATGATAGCAAAAACGTAGAAATGGATTTTGAATCTGATAATTCCTTGATCGATAATTCAATTAGTAGCTCGTCTATACCATTGCGTCATGATAGCATCGATTTTAATAATCGTGACCAAAGTATAGCAACGAACCTTGATTACATAAATCCATCATATCAACAATCATATCAACAGTCATCTGAATCTTCAACCTCATCATATCAACAGTCATCTGAATTTTCAACCTCATCATCTCAAGCCAATGCAATGAAATCTGGACTTTTAAATCGAGTTGGTACTTATGTATCAACGACACTTCGTGGAGCAGATGATTTCCCATCATCAGAAACAATAAGAGTCGTATTTCACGCACATCTGCCTCCTAATATTGAATTTCATTTCGAAAGAGCCATCCCATGCGTTGTTGGAAACATCGATGAGCTAGGAAAATGGGAATTTCCTATCGTGAAGCTTAAACAACCTTATAGTAGACATATGCATCGAACTACTTATTGGGTTTCGGATCCGGTTACGATTCCAGCTTCGAATTTTGAAACCGGTGATGAAATAAGATATCTTTATGCTATTTACATTCCTAAAAGACAGGAAAGGAAGAAAAATAAAGATAAGGATGATAGGATGGATATGGATGATAAGAATGAATATAGTGGTGATATGTATCTTGAGTCTCTCGGAGGGAATCATCGTGTTCTGAGAAATCTTCTTAGTGAACAAAATCAATTTGACGTAGTGCATCAAATAAGAATTGCGGGTAGTGATTATTGGACCAAAACCGTCCATGATTTCGAATTTTTAAACTTTATCTGGCAATCACTTACACCTACTAATACTAGAAACAAACTATTTGAATATCGTATCATCTTGGGTCAATTTCAGGAATATACAAGGCAAGAAACAACCCAGAAATTCATTGTAGATTGTCTGAAGTCAACTAGAGATAGAGAAAAAGAAAAAAGACTATTTTTATGTGTTCTTATAGGCTACTATATTTTTTTACGTCAAGTGAATGTTATAAGTGATGTCAATTTAAATCCAAAATTTCCTTCATCGGAATTCTTTGATTGCCTCAATAAATTTCAGCCTGAAAATTGGTTGTCTGATACTCCCGAGATTCTTTTGATTGCTATTCATGCGTTGATTCGTAATAATATGTATCAAGAGTCTGCTGACTGGTTTAAAAGAATGTTTGCTTATGCACCTCTTGTGGATCCAGGATATAGTTTCATTGATGTTGTTGCAGAAAGGAATTTAAACCTAAAACGGTTATTCGATTTTCTTCCTAAATATGTTACTCCACATGTTAATAAGATTGAAGATCCGCGTGTATATGCAAGAGTTGGTGCGGTAAGTTTTTCATTCATATGTGCAGAATTTTTGTGTGCGTACGCATTTGACTCATATTTGTATCTTTACAAATTGATAATTTGTTAATATAGTGGTTAATTCGGTTATGTGAAGACATGGATCAATTGTTTAGGGTATGGGGTGAAGTAATCGATCATAACAAAGAAAGAGACAGATTACTTAAAAAGCCGTTTCTTGAACATGTTCATTATTTAATTTCGGATTTTAAAGACGCGAAATCTTTAAAAAAGTATTTCGATAAGATCCCTGATCATTTTAAGAAAAAGGTTGATGAGGCATTTCGCCAAAAATCTTTTAAATTAATAAACTCTCCAACTTACAATTGGAATAAACTTGACACAGAAGAAATGCTTGCAATTCTGAAAAATCCTGAATTTAATTGGAATAAATCCGAATTGCTTGAAGTACTCCATGAAATTTCTCAATCAAATCAATGGTACATATTGTACATGTTCTTAGATTTATTTAGTTATTGGTTTCAACTTGAACCGCAAGAAATACCTTCGGATAAGATTCCCGCCATTTGTGGTCAATGGTATCAGCATGTATTGGATCATGTTAATGAGAAAAAGGATCGATATGTCTATACCGTATTTTCTTATTTATCTCAAATATATCCAAAGCTTGAAGGACATTGGAACATTTTGTTTATATTGGTGGGTATCGCAATTGATAGAGTTAAGCAATGTCCAGAAGATAAAATTCTTAGTACAGTTCGTCAGATTGACTTCCAACAAGATATCGTTCAGTCATTCTTGCGAATGGTGAAAGATATTTTAAAATTTAGTATCAAAAATACAGACCAGACTTTGATCAAAAAAATTAGACTGATCTGTGATTGCGATTCTGAAATTTTAAATGTTCCTAACGCGTAAGCATTAACATTTTATTAATTTATTATGACCTTATTTATTATCAATTATTTAAAATGTTGTGTTTTATTATATATTATACAGTTCATGCGAGGCTATTTTACGTTTTATAATGGATCGATTGAAAATTTTGCTCCCATTATCGGACACTTCTGATTTACACATAACTTCCACTACCTTAACCCTCCTTCGTTCTTCTCAATTTTGGAATTTTATATTGCGAGCGACCGGAAAAGTCTCTGATTTGAACGCGCACCCATATATTCGACAAATAAAAGCAATAATAAGTGGGTTTATTAAAATTATTAAAAAAGATGCTATTACGATCCGATCTTTACAACAACTTCTCAAGTATGAGGATGAAACATTGATTCGATTCTTCAATTCAAATAATATAAAACAAGGGGATATTAACAAGCTTCGTATCCAATGTGGAAATTATGAAGAAAAATTAGCACAACTTCATTATTTTTATACTCAATTTTGTCCAGTTGAAAAAATTAAAGGTGTTGATGTTTTTCTTAAAGATATGGAACAAAGATCAAAATGTGACACTTTAACTCTTCAAGAGACTCTAGCAGATAATCATTGGGAATATCACAAGACTAATGAAAATGCTGCAAAACTAACATATAAATTAGCAAATCTTCAAACATTCAGAAATATATTTAATCAAAAGATTAATAGTGAAGAAGAAATTAACATTGAAGAATTGGCACAAAGTATTATACCATCACTTGCCCAAATATATGAACAAAAGACCATGAAATACAAAACTAATGAATGGGAAACCCTTTATTGCATTGAAGAAAGCACTTTTTGGAATAATGTTAAAGATGTTAAAGCAGAACTTGATTTTATGAATTTAAAAGCGGATAAAAGATTGATAAAAACTTTAACATATGTGTCAAGGTATCCTATATATGTTGAAAGACTTCAGCAATTGAATGAGGTGGTATCAATGTTTAAGGTAACTCATACAAAAGAAGATTGGATTGAAACGCAGCTTACGCTTTTAAATGGAAACTATTTATGGCTCGGAAGACTTAATGATTTCTTTGAATATCATGATCGGTCCTTATCTTCACTTAATGAAAATTGTTGGGAACTGATTAAGTCATTATCACTTGCCGATGAATTTATCCGTTTCCTTCAGTCTGTGGCTGAACATGATATAACTAATATAATTAATGGTGTGGATAATCAATCTGATGAACGTCTCATTCAAGAAGATACAGTTTCTTCATTGATTCAAGTTAAAAAATTCTTATTGCCATTGTTAAAGAATGTAGAAAGTTTAAAACCTAAAACATTTTTGAAAAAACTCTGTGAAATCACAGAGCAAAATCCAGTATTGGGGCAAAAGATTACTTTATGTAATAGTAATAGAAAAGCATTAGAGAATATGTATAAAAATATTAATAATAGAACTGAAGTTACTCAAGAAAGAATTATTAACGCTGTAAAGATTGGAACATATACATTTAAACGAATTAGTAATGATGATAAATGCACTGCTACTTTATCTTATCCTATCAACTCCTTTTCAGCTAATTCTGACTCTATGGACGATAAAGATGAATCTAATGAAAAACCATACACTTTAAATGATTTGCAAGACTTAAGAGGAAGGGCTTTGTTAATAGCCAAACCTGGTGTAACTATAGAAATGGAAATTCCTGAAAAAGAGCAAGAGCAACAAGAAAGGGCTAAAAAAATAATGAATGAATTTGTGATCCAAGTAGATTTTGCACAGGAGATTATAAATGTTGCTTCTAAATTAATTCAGATAGGTCACTTTAATTATAGAGATTTTAATAAAAGTGTTAAAGGAACTGAAAATATGCAGAAATTGTTAAATGAATTAAATGAGCATCTGGTTGAATGGTAAGTTTCCTAAATTGTTTGTATTCTTTTAATTTTTAATTATTTATCATTTATATTTATATTGTATTTTTAGGGAAGGTATTGTTGATAGGGCACAAAAAGAACATTATTATTTGACCTTCTTCCCTGCGCGTCACATCTTGGCATTTCATGATTATTTTAATGACAATGCCAAAGATAAAGCTGCAAACCTTGAAGAATGTCAAATACTTATAACATTTGTGAATAATGCTGCTCGATTGCCACCACCAAAATCACAAATACAAATGGAAATTATTGATGATATTCATGAAAACTCTCATGATTATTATAGTACTCTATGTAGTATAGGGTCCAAATTGGCAGATATATTTGAAAACATTCCCAAACAGATACGAGAAATTAAAGACACGGGAGAACGTATTAAATCAGATATTGTCCAACCTGGGAAATTATTTGTGGCTGCATGTAGTAATAAATCTCTTGTACCAAATATCATAATGTCACTGTATGCCAATCACAAATCTTATCCTCAACCGTGGCAAATATTGATATGCACTTCTTCAACGACTATGGAAGAACTTTCTATTTTCACTAAACGATGTTTCTTTGCGTCTGATAATGGATATGACGGCCATTTATTCTGCATCGCTAATTTAGAACTAGTAGATTTTGAGTTACAGTATAATCTTGTTAATAACATTAGATCCATGAATCGGATGAAAAATATCAAAGATAAATATTTATTAGCTCTTATATGTTGCAAAGAATCTGAAGTTCAACATCATATATTGGATCAATTTTCTCAGGATATTCATGTAACCAATGGGCTAGATGTAGATGCTATGAAAGGAATATATCAAGAGCTATGTCCAGACGTTAGACGTGTATCATCAGAATTATCAGGACAGGGTAAAACGGAATGGATTAAAGATGCTAGTTTTGAGAAAAATAAAATTCCTCGTAGTTTTCTAATTAGTGATGGAGTTGATTTTGGAACACTTGTTAGGCGTTTAAAAGAACACAAGATTAGACCAGTTGAAAGTTTGCATTTAAATATAGTATCTGCAGATAATCCTGGTGACGTTAATCTATTCCTATTTGAACTGTTAACTTTAGGAATGGTTTCTAATTATACGGATATAGTTTGTCTTCCCAATACTCCCATTTTCATTGAAGTTGCAACAACTGTTGGACAGTATTTACTCAAATCTTTGCCATTTGTCGAATGTCTTTCCAGCGAACATATAACTTGGGATATTTCTAATCTTTCTGTATCTCAAGAAATTGATAACCCAATTCAAATCGTTTGTCATTATTTAGAAGCGGATGAAAAATCAACTATTGAAGAAAAAGATCTTTTGTTCAATACCACTGGCACTGATATCACGGAGCCACTAGAGGAAAATCGTTGTAGAGAACTCATCAAAAAATATTTGTTTGACGATAAGGATGATAGTGATATTTCATCATATAGATTTGTCGAAATTTTTATTAATGTTTTGGCAAATCAATTAATTGGACTATCTTTAAGTTCCTACTTCCGAGTTGATAATTTAAAATTAATGACTAAAGAAAAAGACATTAGAAAAACTTTGGTCAATACATTACTTACTGCCTCCAAAGATTTTGCCACACGTTCAATAAAGACTAAAGCTGCTCAATTAGAATCAATAACACCTTTAAATGATGATAGACTGGGTACAATTGTTCAATGGGAAGATTCAAATCATTTATTAGTGTTTTTCTTGTCTCAAGCACCAGATTCTATTTGTGCTTTATATCGTAATGCAAAAAAAGTTCCAGACAATGTAACAAAATTATTACAAAGTTAATGTATAAATGGTGATCCTAAAAACTTTAAATTGGAAGATTATAATACGATGGACATGAAGCTTTTACTGAGAAAATTGGAAAGTTTAGCAAGAAAGACTACACATGAAATTACGTATCCTCGATATGCTTTATCTGCAGATAATTTAATTAAGATGGCGTTAATTTTATTAAGAGCTCGTGCTAGTATTCCGGTAAATCATCACATCAAACTAAGGCCACGCCAAATTGATTTTCTGTTTAACATAATTTAAAATAGCTCGTAAGAGTGGGGAGAGTAGTAAAAAATGTAAAAATTATAAAAAACCAATATTGCAATTTGATTGTTAATATGATGTTTTTTTCAAACAAACAAAAATTTAAAAAAATGGGGGAATGTAAACAGAGAATTAAATTGGTCTGGCCTAATTGAAATTACTATGTCGAATCTTATTCTAACTCCAGTTTGTACTTAGGTGGTCGTTTGTGGTGAAGCAGGGTGTGGAAAGGTAATTTATTTTAACAATAAATAAAGGCAACGCTATTTTTGTTATTGTCACTAAGTAATTAAATAAAAGCCGGTGATTTAAGCTCGTAATGAATTTTTTTTGTTGCACAGCTTCAAAGAATTCAGAGTCACAGAGTGGCAATAACGCCCCTAAATAAAATTTAATATAATTTATTTATTCATTTACTAAAAGTTCTATGTAATTATTTGATTTTTAGACAAGTTTAATTGGATTTTTAGCCGGGGTAGTCGAAGTTAAGTTTCATGCGCTGAACCTGCACGCGGGTATTTCCGAAGACATCATAAGATCTTTCATGACAATGGTTCAGGATGAATCTCAAGAGAAGGAAACTTGGATATTTTTTGATGAAATTAATACTTGTAATTACATGGGACTTCTCTCCGATCTCATAGCTCATAGACGATGGTTAGGCAAAGAAGTCCATTATAACATTCGCATTTTTGCTGCTTGTAATCCTTATCGTAAACGCACTAAAAGTCAGAGTAGTGTGGGATTAAAGGTACAGCAAAAGATAAAATATGAGGAAAGAAATGAGTTGGTTTATCAAGTCAAACCATTGCCAGATCAAATTCTTGATTATGTTTGGGATTATGGAATTCTTCAGGCACTTGAGGAAGAAAAGTATATTCAAACAATGGTTTCTGAATCATTAGGAGAATATGATGATAATAGTGTATTTGCAAAATTATTGGCAGAATCACAACGATATATTAGACACATCGAAGAACCTTATAGTGTTAGTCTAAGAGACGTGAAACGTGCGATCACTCTAGTAAAATTCTTTGCAAAGAGTCTCACGAATCGTCCTCCGATTCGAAGAAAAAATTCACCTCCGTACCCTAATCCAGCCGATGGAATTAAATTTTCGATTAGATGTTATGTATTGTCATTAGGACTCTGTTATCAGTGTAGAATGTATGAGCAGTCTATTAGACAAACGTATAGAGAAAAAATGGCTAGATTATTGCTTACTAATGGAATTCAATTTGATGAGGCTAAGTTTAACACTATCATTAGACAAGAGCAAGAAGATTACATTAATAGAATGATTTGTCCTCCAAATACTGCACATAATGAAGCACTTTTAGAAAATGTTTTGGTTATGATAGTTTGTATTTTAACAAAGATTCCTGTATTTATTATTGGTGCCCCTGGGTAAATGTTATTTTTATATATTTTCGTATGATTAATTATAGTTAATTACTCATGCTCTAAATACATTATTATTTAGCTCCTCAAAATCGCTAGCAATAAGACTTGTAAGTCAGAATCTAAAAGGCTCGGATTCAAATGACAAGTACTTTCAGGAATTACCGCAGGTATTTATGTATACTTCATTACATGTGTTACAATAATATATTAACTGAACAAAATAATTAATAATTTATACTTTATATAGGTTTATCTAATCCCTTATCAAGGTTCATCGTCTTCAACATCCGATGGTATCATAAAAGTATTTGAAAAAGCTGTTAATTATCAGAATACGAGTTCTAAAGAATTTAAAATCATTAGTGTGGTCTTGCTTGATGAAGGTAATATTCTTTCACATTTATCAAATATGTAGAGAAGATGAATAAATAGGGTATTTCGACGAATCTGAGTATCTAATATTCCAGTTGTCAGATTTGTGCAACCTTTACATAACTCTATAAAAGTAATCTAACTCTATATGAGAGGAATCGAATCTGATAGTTGTATTATGAGATATTTCAATTCATCACAATATTATATTTGTCATAACGCCCTTCTTACCACATTACACGTAACTCTGGTTATGGATATACCGATAGCATTTTTTAAAATTTTGAACTTATAAACTTAATATGAAAATGCCTCTGGTCAAACTAGCATCTGGATATATCGGTCAATTTCTTTATTTTTTGAGGTGTCGATATAACCAGAGTGACGTGTATTTAAACGGGATATCTCGTGACCCAGTAATCTGGTCGAGCATTCGATTCTTATCATAGAGAAATCAAACTGAATTAGATTATTGGATCACAAGCTAATTTGCCAAAATACCCATGTTTCTTGTATATGAGAACTGGTCTAGGAAAATGTTAATCTGGAGAATTCTCCGATTGATCGTAATGCCCCAATTATTCTTAATCGGAGAATCCTTTAATTCCCAGATCGATATTTTCCTAGACCAGTTCTCGCATTCTTATCATCACTACCATGAAATTTCTTATATAGAAAGTAAAAACATTTTATGCAATCAATATATTCTCAAAAATTACCTTGATAACCCGAGTGATACAATAAACCCGGGTACAATCTCTAGTCTACACTGCATTCCTATTCATCTTATATTTTTTATATATGTATAAATTTAATTAAACATCTTAATTAAACATCAAATTCTTTTAAACAGTTGGATTGGCAGAAACAAGTCCATTCAATCCATTAAAAGTTCTTCATTCATTACTTGAACCAAGCTATCCTTCGGATGGTCCTACCGTAGCTTTTATTGGCATATCTAACTGGAGATTAGATAATAGCAAGAGCAGTAGAGCATTATTGGTTCAAAGGTTTGTATGTCTTTCTAGTTTTTATATTACGATGTGTTATACTGATATTAAATAAATATTCGTTAGACCGAAATTTGACCTGGATGACCTGATAGATACAGCAGTCAATCTTCTAGGCTCAAAGACCAATCCTGGCGGTTCTAAGATAACAAGTTCCTCTCTTAAACCACTCGCAGATGCTTATTCATCTTACGAGCAAACTGGGCAGCTGCTTCCTAATTTCCATGGTCTTCGTGATTACTACGCATTAGTAAAATCATTATCTTTGGCTGAATTAACGCCTCAAAATATTCAAAAATCCTTAGTTCGAAATTTTGGTGGTACAGATCCGGAACAAACTCAAAAATTATGCGAACATTATTTTGGAGAGGTATTTAGACTATCTAATGATGCCAAGAATTGGGAATATACTCCTATTCCGGTCGAAGAGTTAATTAATGCGAATTTGGATGATGAAGGGGCAAGACATCTTATGGTCATTGGAAAAAGTGATTCAATTGTCAGTTTGTTGACTTATCAGTTGAGAAGTAGAAATTTAGATCCGGTTATTATCTTGGGATCTCAATTCCCTGATGATCGAGATGATTATTCTTATAGTGTGCTAAGCAGGATTATGGTGAGTCTTAACTTTAATATAATATATATGTTGACATTTTTAATGAATATATATTTTTGTAGATGTGTGTTGAAGCTGGAAGACCATTAATATTGACAGACTTGGAAATTATTTACGGGAGTCTTTATGATCTGTGGAACCAAAACTATATCGTCGTGGGTAGTGCAGATGATCCAAAATATTATACTAGAGTGGCACTCGGTGCTTATGCGAATCCTATGCTGTAAATATATTAACATTGTGTATTTGTAGTTTGTACAACTTACTGAAAGATACTAATACGAATCAATATATCGCATTTATACATTTCTTTCAAACGTTTAGTTTTGTCAATAAAACATTTAGATGTATTCTAGTACTTGATGAGAAGAAACTTGAGACAGCTGATCCACCACTTCTAAATCGGTTCGAAAAACAAAAAATGACAATAAACAACATCTTAACACCTCAAAATATTCAGATAGTTGAACAATTATCTAGCTGGGTAACTCAAATGTCAAAAGTATTTGGTGGCCTTAACTCAGCCATGTCAATAATGGAATTTAAGCAAAAGGATCTATTTATTGGATTTGATCCTGATGAAACATTACAAAGTTTAGTGATTGACATTACTAAGAGATATCCGAATAGTGATGATGCAGACATTCTTCAAAAGTGTAAAGAAAAACTGATCGCAATTGCCTCAAGTGATGGAATTATAAGAGCGGAAAAATCTGGATTAGATGCCGATGAAATTAAGTTCTGGAAAAATATTTACTATAATGACCAATGCCATAATGATCTTGCCACATACATTCAATCTTCTCTAAATAAATTAAAAAATGAAAATTACTCAGAAGGACTTCAAGTTATCATTAATACATTCTCCAACATTAACACAGATGTAGAAGCTTGTCTGAAAGACACGATCAATTGTCAAGTAGATAAATTATCGACATTCAAAACAGAAGCACAGCTTCAAAACAGAGTTAAACATTTCTGGTTAAATTCTACGGCTGAAATGTTAATTCTCCAATGTGATGTTACGACGATAAGTGCCGGATGTATTAAATTGGCTAAATTTATAATTGAACAATTTAAAAACGATTATATGATTAAAAAGAAAACAAGGCCTGAATTGAAGATGAAAACAAAACATTCATGTGTTATACTGCATATTCATAGAAAGCAAGAAAATTCATTGGCAACTTTTAATTTTATGTGTGGATGGGATCAAATAACGATTGAAACTCTATCTGAACAAGAAATACCTTTATCAAAACTTTTGGATAGAAGTCTAAATGATGTTATTAATACTACTTATAAATTTGAAGATATTTTGAAACAAGAATTATTATGGTGCTTGTTGTGTATGAAATATCCCTCGAATATAAAATCCATTGAGCATATCAGGTAAATTTTCTTTTTTAATACTTTATATATATATATATATATATATATATAACATGATACCAATCTTTCTGAAATATTTAATTAGGATTTTGAACTCAGAAATTTGTAAACACCCAATTTTATTGGAGTGCATAAAAGCACGCACCCAACAGTGGCTTCAAGAAAAGGCATCTAAAAGCTGGCAATATGATGTAGCATCCAATAAGAAATTATTATATAGATATCCATCATTTTTAGCAGCATTACAGGCTTATATCAAAGGATTTGTCAGAAGACCGATTGCCAAAGCTTTATGTGCACTTGAAAGATTCGCAGCAACCAAAACTTTCTTCTTAATAGATAATCCAAATATTTCAAATGAAGATAATTATTTGCTCAATTTTTGGTTAGAAATGTTTAATGATCAAAAAATAATTAATATCGAAGAAATATCAGAGCCATCACCAGATTTATATACTATGCCTCTAGGAATTTATAATCTACAATTTCCATTTTCTTATTACTTCATGGAACAAATTGATAATTTTAGACCAATTTATCAGGAAGAAATTAATATATTATACCAAAATCCCGATAACGTGAACAACCTATCTGGTGAACTCGAAGATTCTGTGATTAATGAATATCTTAAAAATTTCACCGAAAAAATCAGAGCAGAAGTTCCTTTATTAAAAACATCACCATTGGATAAAGCATCAGATCTGTATTTCAAAGATTTCATTTCGGTTATAGCATGTAATGAACCTGGTAACAAAGATCCTGAATTATTAGAATCAATCTTTGAAAGAAGACTCGGCAAAGAAAAGGTTTTGAATCCAATAATATTACATACTTATTGGTGGATTCATGGAAATTCCATAATGGCAGAATTACAACTAGTTCAAATATGCCCAACAATAGCTCCAGAATTAAAAAACAAATCTGGTGACGCCGTAACTCTAGTTAAAGAGGCTATAGAAATATTATTAGTTAAAATCAGCAAAGACAAAAACATGAATGAAGCTTACGAACAAAAAGAAGTTGATCGATGGAAATATGAAGCTACTAAGGTTCTTTCATTCAGCAAAGAAATTCCAAAAGCTTCAACACTAGAATCTCTCAAATTATTGCAATTTTGTAACGATTTACTCTCCATCAAATCAATCAGACCACATAGTATTTCAAGGATTATTTCTCTTGCACAAAATTCAGTGTCAACATTGACGATAGAGGTCTTGAATGTATTATTCGATGTTTTATATGAAATCGAACCCACTGAAATAAATTTGGTATTTAAACGAAATATTATTCTAAGATGCCTTGATATAATTCCTCTAGAGTCAGATTTACGAATTTGGCTCTATCGAAGGTTGTTTGAAAATCAACCATTCCCACTTATGGGTATAATTATTCAAAAAATTTTCGAAACAGAAAAAACAGCACACGAAGGTATATTCTTCCAACTTATTAAAGGCCAACCAGGGATTCTTACTTTTTATCCTAGACTTCAAGAAATCGATAAATATCTTACAGAACTTGATTTAAAAATGGCCACTTTATGCTGTGATATCATTCAACGATGTTTTTTTGCAAAAACGACTATAGAAAAATTAGTATCCTACTTCCCTCATGCTTTAAGAACATTGTGTGAAGAAGAAATACAACCATTACAACGAATCTCAGCTGTTGCATTCTTAAAAGAATTTGTTAGAATGTTTTTTGATGTAGTCATCAATAATGAAAATGCTTCTGTTGCATATCAACTTGATAGTATCCAAGGGATTAACGGTACCAACTTTTTACATAAAATCATTGAAGCGTTAAAAGTAGAACACTCGTTAGTATATTCGTTAAGAATATATTTCCTTCGAGATTTAAGAAGACGTGGATATTCATTCGATGAAGTAAGAAGGTTTTGTAAGAGACGACCTGATGAACTGCCTTGGCTGAATAATTTCCCTTGGGAATCTAGTGATTCAACAAGATTTCCATTTAACCCTTATTGGCATCTTTCCGAATATCCAGAAACTGAAATTGCATATGCGAATATGCGCCGAATTGGAAATAAAGTACAGATAGATGATTTCCTTAAAAAAGTCGATGGAGGATCAATAAATTCACGATTATCTCTTATTGGATTGCTTGTCATGAGACTCCATGCTGTTAGGGCTTCACGTGGGTGGGATGAAAAAGAAAGAGAGTTAACTATACATTTAAAATCAAAAATTGATAACATGATTAGTCTTCCAGATGCTTATAGACAAATGGTTTCCAAACTTTTAGAAAATACCCACAATTTATATAAGATTGGAACTGACACCACAAGTAATAATTTAATCATGAAATCAGTACTTATTTATATAGTTGGATTACACGCCTCTATGAATTCAGATTTTTCACCCTTGACTGCTTATTTGCAAGAAATAGAAGGATGTGGTTCCATGTTTATTTTATCATGCCAATCAGATGAGGAATCTGCTTTGTTCAATGCGGTTGCTGCTATGGGAGGTGTATCTAGGTAACACTTATTTTATATTTAACATATATGCCAAATTTATTATAGTAATACAAATCTTATTGTTTATATGATAGATATCAATGCCAATGTGGCTTTAAATACGTAATAGGCAATTGTGGTGGTGCCATGGTAACGGCAACATGCCCTGGATGTGGAAATACAATTGGTAAGCTCGACATTCAAAAGAGCTTAATTATTTTTTTAACACTGCAGAATGTAGGAAGAATTGGTGAACACGTGATACATAATAAGTAACCACGAGTTTAGACAATTCTTCTGTTTCCTGGTGTTTCGGTTGTATTCATCATTTATTAAACAATTCCTATTTTATTAGGTGGAAGTCATCATCGGTCAGCACCTGGCAACACACGACTTGATCAAGATATTGTCTTATCAGTGACATCAAATGATCAAGCAGGATATGTTTCGGAAAAACTAGAATCTTCACAAACTTATACTGTTCGAGCAATGTGCCCAACTTCATATCGAATTTTACATCTGATAGTTCATACACTTATCTTAGCTTCAACACCGTCAGAGGCCACAAATAATTTCTTTAAACAAAATGGAAATACTTATGGAGATGTTACGGACTATTGCATGAAGCATATTGAAAATGATTGGGCTGTCTTAAAAAAGCTTCTTAATATTTCTGATGAAAATTTGGCACTATTATTCCATTCTATACTAATCGAGATGATAAATAATCCAAATCATTCTAAACCAAACCATTTGTTTAACTCGGTCGCAAGACAACAGTGGGAAACAAACTTTGCTCGAAATTATGTTACACCACTGATAAATAATGTCACTCAAACCATTAGAAACTTTAGTACTTCGTTGAGAAATGCAATGAATGCGGCAGAAGTATCTAGTAACATTCTTGATACAGAAATTAGTCAAACGTTAGACATGTCCCCACAACATTGTAAAGAATATCTTCCCGGATTGTGGAGAACTCTCGGCACAGTTTGTTATGAAAGTCTTAATGCTTATTACTCTAGAGATATGCATCATAATGTTCAAGCATTTCCATTCTTGGCAGTTTATTTCAAGCATGAAAAAAGCTTGTCACAAATCAAGCATCTTTATCCTATTGTCAATTTCGTTAAAATATTACATTCAAATCTTGCCTATAGATTGCAAAGAGAAAAAGCAGTTAGTTATACATTCAAAGAATTTATTGATGAATCAAAGAACGAAGCAATGTTTGATACTCGCATGACTCTAAATACTGCTTTTGAAGAGTTTGCTAACGCTTGGAATTCAGTTATTGACAATGTTACTCGATATCAGTGTCATGAACTACCCAGACATCCACAGATTACTATTAATGATTCTGTGACGTTCGGTTTAATGGAGGCTAGGGATTCTGGTGTTTTCTTATGCGCAATTATAGACTATTTGGTCGATTTACATAATAATTTCTTGGAGGATGTTATAGCCATTCCAGAAAGATCTTGTCTCTCTCTAAAATTCTTAGAAGAAGCTACACCTTGGGTATATGAAGAAATTGTTACTTCAACTCAGGTTAGAGTCACAAAAGCCACAAATCCTTATCATATTCCGTCAAAACGTTTAGATTCAATAAAACGATCAAACATTGTTGATTATGAGTGGGATAATAGGATCCTTCGGTATAGTCAGCATAACCTTAAAATTGGACACGGTGAAGATATAATGTTCGATCTTCAAGCTATAGAAATGGAACTTGCTCAAACTTTAGTCTCCGAAAAAGCGTATATTGAAAGAAATGGTGACCAATTATTAATGGACAAATTCCCGTATCACTTAGAACTATTCCAAAGTTCAATGAGAATTTTAGGTGAAATTAAAGAATTAATTCCACAAGAACCTATTCCTAATGACAAGATTTCATTAATCTTTGAATCCACTTCATCAGCACCTTTAACATCAAATCCATTTAAGAATGCAAATATTTTAGCAAAGTATTCAATCGAAAATGCAACAGAATTACTTTCATTCTTGGAAATATTTTTATGCTTCATTAAAAGAATCTCAGCCGATAATGGTGAAACTCTTATGAAAGAGTTTGTAAACCAATGGTTAAAATTATCAAACTTAATGGAAAATATCGGTTTTCAACATATTTTAAATCTCGAGCTGAAATTAAAACATGCTATTTCCTTATACGAATTAGTTGAAAATCAAGTCGCAAACGAAGAGATTAAATATCTTAATACTAAATATAAAAAATCACTAGATGAAGATATGAAAAATCAAGTTTTAGAAGCTATTGATTTCGAACAAAATACTGGAGAACAAAAACAAAAGATACCAGCCGAAGCGTTTGTTATTGCTCTTAAGAGATATATGCAAAGATTCTTGTGCACAGATAATATTAAAGCAAGTGATCCATTGTACATTTATGTTAACGATATGAGTCTGAATTTATGGCCCGACAGTGTCCCCGAGGAGTTATTGGATGATGTTTTCCCGGATTCATTGTTGGTAGAAAATACATTCGAGGCTTACGAATTTGTCAATAATATGATCAAGGTAATAATTCATTTTTATGTATTTTTTTTTTGTTTTTTAATTTAAATATTAATATCTTTAAATATTACTAGGTTGATCAACAATCACTTCCTGCAGTTAAGCAAATCAATCCAATAGAATTAGATAACTCTATGGAAGTGGATCATCCGGGAGTGGATCGTCATTCAATGGATTTAGATCCCTAAATCTATATGTTGAGTTTAATATCAAGGACTAACCTATGAAGTTTATACTTGTATTTTTTTTTGTTATTTTTTATATAATAGCTCGTTTCACTGCGCTCCTAATATTTGTAATAAAACGTAAATTTATATTTCTAAATGTATAAAATAAGCATACAACTTTTGTTTACCAATCCTTATATTCTATTTTGTATTATCAACTATTCATGTTTATAGTCAACAAAGAATAATAAATATACGTATGTTACATTTAAATCAATTATCAGATACTGTAACAGGGGTACTTATGTTCCTATACATTTAAAGTTTCTGAAAGTTTCGGCTTCTCCCAGTTTCGCCAGTTTCGGATATTTCACCTAGAGGTGTGAGCAAAATGCCGTAATTGGTCGTAATTATAATGAATTACGGCATTTGTTGCCGTAATTCTTATAATTACGGCATTGCGCTCGCACCTCTAATTTCACCCAATATCGCTCAATTTCCCGACAAACCATCTAACCTGCATCACACGGAGCGATAATTTTTCATTTTATTAGTTACAGTCAAGGTCATTTAACTGACATCATATAGTGCGAAAAATTCACTACAAAATATATCCATTAGGAAAGTGAATCATTTCGGATCATTTAAATCATTATATTTTTTTGATATTCTCAAATTGAATCTATCATTTATTATTTTTTGAAGTTTTAAGAACTGCGTCTACATTTTCTTTTTGCCCCCAAAGCGAACAGAATAGTTCATGCTCATAATGCAAGAAATTTTTATATTCTTCGTTATTTTTCGCCCGTGAAATTAATGACTTTAATCCTCTTACCTAAAAAATGACAATTAATAAACACACATATATGCACATACAATATTCAATAAAACTTAATAAAAACGAGCAAATAAATACCGCTTTAACAGAATTTATTCTATCCTCATTTCTATTTCCACCTTTTCCTTCATTTCTTTCTGAAAAGTAAACATAGCGATCTAAAAATTCGCATGCTCTATTAACGCATTCACCATGTGGAGCAATAGCGTCGACAAATCCTAATTCCAGCCCATTCTTTGCGGTTATTGGTTCACTAGTTCCCATTATTCTTAATGCATTGATTTCTCCTATGATGTCAATTAATCGTTTTCCACCACCCCATCCGGGAATCACACACATTTTGACTTGAACAAATCGTATTTTTGAGGTTTCTTTAATGAAGAAAATAAATGTCAAATAAAAATGTTCAATCTTTGTATGACAAAAATAATAAAAAGAATTATGAAGCAATACTATCTTATAAAAAGTCACCTAATTCAACAAAAAAAAAGAAAAAGGATAAAATACCTGAAATACATCTGTGGTCGCAGGCAGTCACCAATTCAGCACCACCGCCTAATGCATACCCTTCAACTGCCGCTACTGAAATTAAGGGTAATTGACCAAATCTAAATAGTGTATCTTGCATTAATAAACTCATCTTTTTCCCGTTTTCTGGAGTTAAGATATGATCTTTTGCTACACTTAAATCTTTCATATTATAAAAATAAGTGATAATCAGATGATTTTTAAAACAAAGAAAAAAGCTAACCTAATCCTGAGCAAAAAGTATTTTTACTTCCAGTAACGATAACTCCAATTAAATTATTCTCTTTATTCAACATACTCTCATTATTTGACTTATTCTCATAATTTAAATTAGCATTTGTATTAGACTGAACAATGTTTTCTAACTTATCCACAATATCTGATAATTCTGCCATCATCTTGCCACTTAGTGCATTATGTCTTTCTGGATTTTGCAATGTTAATAATCCTATTCCCGGTGAATATTTTGGATCGAATGTTACCGAACCATGGCTAATTAATCCCTCAAACAATGAAATATTTCACTAAGAGAATAGAACTTTAAAAAAAAATCACTGCATGCAAATTTGTGTTTACCCAAGTTTTCGAAGTTCTTCTCGAATACTTGTAAGATTCCCATGTAATGACCCAAACTTTCGAATAATTCGTGTTTTTAAAACTTTTTGTATCGAATTGAAAGATAAATTTATAGATTTACGTAAATTCAGTATCATCTTTACAAATGAATAAAATGTTGATCAAATTAACGTTAATCGTATTCTTATACTAAATATTCACCAATCAAATTTAAATGTGTTTTAAGCCGAACAGACTACCAGAGGCCGGTTGTCTTCAAAGGCGTGTCAAGTAAAAACCTGTAAGTATTGATTTTGACATTACAGGTTTTTACCACTCGTACGTATATATATGAATGACAGAAAAGGGAATCTGTAAATTGATTCACGTCAGACTTGGCATCTGAAGTATCTGGCTCGAATTAATTAGTTCTATACGTATATATCGATACATGGAAAACATTTAATGTCTTTTTTTTAGGAGTTACGTTTGATGATCAGAGATGTCTTAGCGAAGCGACTGGAACGATTAACAACATATTTATCACATTTAATTATTGGAGGACTTTTCCTTTCTGTCATTCATACGTATAAAGTTTTAGATACGTAAGTTGTTTTTCTACATAGCACGTACGTACGTACGCACGCAAGCCACGTCGACGTTAAACTAGAGATGGTTAGGTTGGTTTAGGTTCGGTTTTTGGTTTGGAGCCTTTAGGTTCTATTTCAAAAACCTAAGAACCTGAAAGTTCCAAAACTTGGTTCTGAACCTGGTGCCTGAACCTAGTTCGAACTAAAAACTTAAAATCTATTATAAATCTAAAAAACTAAGAACCTAAGAACCTACTATGAACCTAAAAACCTATCATAAACCTAAGAACCTAGGTTGGTTTTTAAAAACCAGGTTCTAAAACCAGGTTCTTAGGTTCCAAGCCTAGAAACTTTACCATCTCTACGTTAAACATCTAGGATTTACGAAAAAAAATTTGTTGCTAGTTTGATATGACCTAGTTTAAGATAATATTATTTAATACAGTATATATTTATTAATAAAGATAAACGATGTACATGAATTTTTCTTTTTTTTTTTGATACATTACAGAACCTAGGGCATTAATAACTACAGTATATACACAATTACTGTCGCAGATCATAATGAAATCGGATTAAAATGAAATGAGGGGTTTCTATTTGACCCTCTAAAACCCATTTATACTTGTTTATTATAAAACCTGCCTCTAAACCCTAATCCTAACCCTAAAACAATACTAAAAAAAAATGCACCCCAAAAATTTGTATTTTTCGGTGGCTTGTCTCTTGTCTATTTTACACTATCGCTCATTTCATTTTAATCTGATTTCATTTTAATCTGCAACAATTACTACGTATTAAATTTAACAGTAACGGTAACTATATAGTCACACATAAAGGTCCAAAAATGAAAATAATTACGGATGAGGGTCCAAAATAAAAATTCTTACATATAGCGGCCCCCAAATCAAAAATTATTACAAATAAAGGCCTGTCCGAGCTATACTAGGTGATTAAGCCAAAAGATTTACATAGCGTCGCTCAGAACAAATGATAGCGATAGCCAGATTTCTGGCTTACATATGACCTCGAAAACTGATTGCCGGTAAAGCTATGTTTGATTTTTATTTTGACTTTGTTTTGACTTTCACTTGGTCTTCGTTTTAACTTCGTTTTGATTTTTACTTTGATTTTTGCTTTGACTTTGATTTTCGCTTTGACTTTCACTTTGACTTTCGCTTTGACTTTCACTTTGACTTTCGTTTTGACTTTGACTCACTATGACTTTCGCTTTGACTTTCGTTTTGACTTTGATCTTCTCTTTGACTTTCATTTTGACTTTGATCTTCTCTTTGACTTTCGTTTTGACTTTCACTTTTATTTCGAGAATTTTTTGCCATGTTGAATTTACAAAAATATAATTTTGATCATTCGTTTAAATAAGCTATTTAAGTTCGTGAATATTTCATACTTTGCTTCTTGTTTATTAATGTTAATTTAGCTAATATATACAAAGGATTTTAATACTCAAAATAACCACTATATCTTTTTTATTCGTTTTATTTAGTTATGTATAAAGATTTTTTTAATTAATGCGTTAAAATTCGTAAAGTCATAAGTTTGTTAGCGAGATTCGTGAATAGTACCTTTAGTTTTTTCGTGTAAAAATTGCATCTTAAAGCTATTTTGTGATATTGTATAATTATTTAATCCGGCTACCATTTCTTTCTGGGCGACGCTATGTAAATCTTGTGGCATAGTCGCCTAGTATAGCTCGGAAATCGGACAGGCCCTTATTTGTAATAATTTTTGATTTTGGGCCGCTATATGTAAGAATTTTTATTTTGAGCCCTTATCCGTAATTATTTTCATTTTTGGGCCTTTATGTGTAAATTCCCCATTAAGATATCTAGGTTCCTATACAGTCATACTTTTTAAATCTATGAATTATATCCACCCTTTTTAAACTTAAATCGGTTTTCTTCAAGTTCTAAAGCTGCTTTCTCAGCAGCTTCGGCCAGTGGAACAAAATTGAGGGTTTTAAGACAAAATGTAAATAACTCAAAGTTTTATTAAGATAAATTTCTTTTCACCCTTAAATTAAAATGGTTAAATTTTAATTTACATATATTTCATTATTATTATTATTATTTATTTTTCTTTTTTGAAATGACTTTTCAAGTAAAAATTGAGTAATTGATGGACAAGTTGGGATGTCACGGGACGAGATGGGACGAGATGGGACGGGACAGGACCAAAAAAATCACAGTACACACCATTGCCATCCACTCCCGTTTGGCCATCAGAAAAGCAAATAATTTTGTCCCATAAGAATATACGCTTATAGCTTAATAACTCTCATCCAAGATTCCGGGTTTATTTTTAACAATTTCCACCTTTGCATTTCTCAAATGAAAAACTTTTCTTATTTCTCTAAAATGTTTTATAAATTGATCTGTTTCCAATTCACCACTCAAAAATGAGTTTGCCATTTGCTCTGATAGTTCATCAGACTGCTGAACACCGGCTTTAAGTTTTGTCGACAAAACAGAAGGTGAAAAGCGCTATTTAGCAAATAAATATAGTATGAATTTAGATGATTTATATGAATCAATTAAAGCAAGACAATGCAGTAAATAAAGAAAACCTGTAAAGCATTTTGCTGAAGATTGAGTTTTTCTTGAAGGGTTGAATTTAGATCGAGGAGTGAATTTTCTTGTTCTTGAACACTCTGCCGTAGTTGATTTAACTCATTTTCTTGCAACAGAGTTTCTTCTTTAATTTTGCCAAAAAGCAGATACATATGAATAAATTTATGATATGATACATAGTTAAAATTCAAAATTAATAGGTATAGAATAAATATTTCAAACTCCTACTTGCTATCGTTTCATTTCCCATCCGCATTTCATTCTGGACAGCTATTGTGTTATGGATTTGCTCAATGCTCTCAAAGAAAGATTCAAAAAATATGTCATTGCTAAGAAGATCTTCTAAATCCTCTTTGCTAATAAATTTCGTTATAGTTAATAACAATTTTAACTTAAATCAAATTGATAGTAAAGTGTTTAATTACCTCTTTGTCAATATTTCCGGAAATTCCTCATATATTACAACTTGTTCTGGTGTTAAAGTAGTTGCAAGAACAGCAGATTTTGGTCTGTCATATATGGGTGGTTGCGGTTGCCTAAATTCGTAACTAAACGTGTACATACGTAAGGAATTACATTAGATCATTACTGCACATATATTAACAATATACATACGATAAGGTGGTTGAGCCGTTTTCCGAATTTTTTTCTTCTTGTGGCTGTGACATTTTATATTTTATTCTGTTTCTAGGTCAACCTCTTTTATATAGTACTACGGGATGTCATGTGTAACCTATATACTTAATTTAGTTAATAATCTCGGTAGAGTAACGGTAACGGTAACGGTATCAGCACGTATAAAACTTTGTCTCAAATATTGAATGATCTGCAAATACGTGATGTCTCTACAATCAGATCAAGATAACAATCGCTCGAAACTTAAGAAAGACTGGTCTAGCGTTCGTGATATTTGTGAAAATACACCGACCTTTGGAACTCGAACCCTAGAAAATAAGGAACATGTTTGGAATCATAATGCCTGGTTTGGTATTTTAACTTGCTATTATAATATTGACAATTCATAATCCCTTTTTTAACGCAATAATGATATATTTTATTTACTAGGGACAACGTAGAATGGGATGAGGAACAGGAAAGATATGCGCGAGAAAAAGTTCTTAAACAATCAAGTAAACTCATGTCTCTTGAAGAACAGCGTATGTCGTATGCGCAAATTTATTTCATTTATTTATTTTATTTTTGTTTTTGTGCATGCGAGATTCATTGTTTTTTTTTCAATTTTCTTCATGGATGGCAGAAAAATATCATCAAGATGCATCGAAATATTGGAACACATTTTATCTTCATAACGAAAACAAATTTTTTAAAGATCGTCAGTGGTTAAAAATAGAATTCCCTGAACTTCACAATGCTACGAAGTCAAATGTTTGTATTTCTAATATTTTTAATCTATGTTTATTTATTTATTAATTAATTGTAAATTACGCTTTTCTATAGGTTGGTCCAAAAAAAATATTTGAAATAGGATGTGGAGCCGGAAATACAATGTTTCCATTATTATCTGTAAATCAAAATCCTGAATTATTTATTTATGCCTGTGATTTTGCTATCAATGCTGTTGAAGTTGTGAAGGTAATCTTAAAGTATATTCGTAATAGCACTCAGCTTTCTTTAGCCATTGGTACAAACAAATTTTTTTATTATTAAAATAATCCGGTATATGATCCTCAAAAAAGTAGCGCATTTGTTTGGGATTTGACCAGTGGGAAGATACCAGAAAACATTGAACCTGGTTCACTTGATATTGTAGTATTAATATTTGTTATGTCAGCTATACATCCGCAGTGTTGGAGTCAGGCTGTAGAAAATGTTTATAAGGTTTTATATATTCATTTTATTTATAATTGCTTCGTGCTAAGATATTAACGAAATTATTATATAGATGCTTAAACCCGGTGGATTGGTTCTTTTTAGAGGTATTTGATTGAGTTTATCGTCTGCAACATAAGGAATTTTTGCTAGCAAGATGAAAAAAAGTATATTATACGTCATTTTGCCAGCATCACTTAGCCGTAGCACCTAACATATTAATGTGGGCTTATATAGATTATGGTAGGTATGATATGGTGCAGCTAAGATTTAAAGAAGGTCGTATGCTATCCGATAACTTTTATGTCCGAGGTGACGGCACACGTGTATATTTCTTTACTCCAGGTAAGTTCTATAAACGTTTTTACAATTAAGCTATGATGCACACAGTCAAATTCATCAAACTGTAATTGAAGAAAAAAATATATATATAATTTAAATATACTATAAAAAAAAATACATAGTTAATAATTTTTGGCGAAGGCTATCAAGTAGGGCTCTGCAAGCGCTGGCATGTGCCTATTAAAACATAGTACCAGGGAACAGGTATGTTTTAATAATACGCGTGCAGAGCTCTACTGTCAAGCTATACGATTTATTTGAATTTTTTTTTGTCGCAACGATGTTGAGATTTGGGCCTTTATTTAAACTTATTAAACATACTAAAATCCACATATACTTGTTTATTAAGGGCTTTGTAATTTACCGCTATAACGATGTATCTCTACCCCGGGTCTATGTCAAAATTCTAAAAGACAAGATTCTGAAAGTCAAAATCCCGAAAATCAAAATCCGAAATTTAATTGTCGCGTCGCGTGAAGTCAAGGTTCCAATATTCAAACTCCACTTATGATTAGTAAGATAGATCACTAATCATAGGTGGGGTTTGAATATTGAAACCCGACTTCACACGACGTGACCATTAAGTTTCAGGGAGTGATGCAGAAGAATCGTCCCAATGATAGTCCAATGATAGTTGTCACATGACCGTAACTTGCCGTAACTATAGTAATATAATAAAGTTACGGCATTATAGCTGTAACTTTATTATATTACTTACTATCATTGGGACGATTCTTCTGCATCACTAGTAGCGATACATCGCTATGGCGGTAAATTACAAAATACTTTTATTAATCTAAAGAAAAAAATGAACTCAAAATTTTTTATTAAAATAAGTTCAATTCTCAACATCAGCATCTTAAAAATTATGGATCTCAGATTGCATGCACCATAGTTAAAGATAAATTAGATCATATTTCTTTAACTCAAATACCATGTTTATATTGTAATTAGATGAAATACAAACAATATGGGGCACAAAATTTACAATTGAACAGAATGCTGTAGATCGTAGATTAATTGTCAATAGACATCGTAGACTTCAAATGTATCGAATTTGGTTACAAGGTAAGTTTAGAAAAATTGAAGGTCCGAACCCTTTATAATTAGTCATTTTAAGCGATAGTTTTAATTAAAGTAGAAATTATTGTGAGGAAATTATTTGTTTTTCTTTTATGACGTATAATAACAAAAGGATTTAATAAAAAATAATTGCCTTAAGGCAGCATAGAATATTTAACATATGATTATATATATATATTGACAGACGTATTACCGATAAAAATTTATGAATCATCATTTTTTTGTCACATACTGTAATACTTAATCCACAAATGTCCGTCAATTCTTTAAATCAACCCAAACCATTCCCCACTTGGTTTTATCAACACCGCTCCCATCAATTTCATAGACCCCTTGAATCCATATTGCTAATCCATTCCCACTCTCAACTTCACTTTTCATGACACCATAGCCACAAATAGAGAATTGCGTGGTATCAGAAATTCCCAGAAATGTTAATTCGTTTAAATCAGGAGACGTGCTTAAAGATGATGGTGACATCCCAACGTAAATATTATAATATGCAAATGTATTTTCTAAGCTTGTAACAGCTGGTGTTAGTGCTAGTTGTTTCTCGACAGAAGCATCTAAAAGATCGGCATTAAGATTAATGTTTGTATGTGTGGAGGATTCTTGGTTTGGAGTGAACGTAACGTTCCATCTGATTATTCCCCACACAAAAATAACTTCATCACTTAATTCATCTAGATCAGATGTATCGAACATCTTTCTTTCAAACTCAACGTTTTGGACCATTTCTATATTTATATCAGGCTTTGTATTTTGAGGTATGATAGAAAGTTCACCAACATATCCCAATAATTGTCTAGTGACATTATGAGAGGTGGGATTTTTTAAATTGTATAGAGAAATTCCAAATTCTTGAATCACTAAATCATTTCTAATAGTAACATCTCCGTTTAAGGTACTTGAAGAACTATCTCTAAAAATTGAACAAGTCAAAATGAATTCTGATGTGATCCACCCATTATTCCTTGAAATCGTACTTGTAGGAGTAAATGATTGTGATGTAACGGCACCAGAATCAGAAACCAATTCAATTTGAACTGTATTTGCAGAGTCCGGGACAAGAGCTCCTTCAGACATAATAAAACTTTGACCTTGAGTAGAATTATTAATTGAGTTCGATCCTATTTTTATATACGGGGAAAATTTTAGATCTGTTTGCTTTGGGAGATATGTGACACTTAGTTTTAATGGTGTTTGTAGAGGGATTTGTAGAGAAAGTGTGTATAATGGAAGTTTAGCAAATGGCAAAATGAATTGACCACTAGAATTTATAGTTAATGAGGTGCCACCGTTATAGGCTGTGTCGAAAGTATAATCCCACCAGAGAGAGTTTGGTCGTGGGAGTTGGAATGTTAAATTATTCGGACTAATAGATTGATGACTTAAGTTAAACCAATCTTGAAGTCCTATCATTGACTATAAAAAATGTGTAGATAAATATTAACATGGGATTGGGTCAATAGAATCAAGCAAATTTTAAAAAATTTTTTTTAATATTTTGAACAAAAATAACAAGAACTTAAAATCAAATTTGATAAAAAAATTTTTTTAAATTAATTTTATAAACTTATACTGTAGAATTAATTTAAAAAACCTCTTATCAAATTTGATTAAAAACTTCTTTTATCAAATTTAAGTTCTTGTTTTTTTGTTCAAAATTTTTTTAAAAAAAATTTGCTTGATTTCTATTGACTCACCTCACATAGCGGTTAATAGAATAAATAAGCAATAAGCAATAATTACATACTTTTCCTTCAATGAAGAATTGATGCCCAGTTCCTAGAGAAAAATTTGTGTAAAAGCTTGTACTTTTAGGGACACATTTTGGAATGACATAATCAGCAACACCAGGACGCCTGTCTAGTTAAACACATAGCCTTTAACATTTCGCTTTTATTAATCCACCGTGTAATCTCAATCGAGTAACCATATAAAAACTTACTAACGACACCAGGAGGACTACCAACCCAAAACAGGCGATCATTAGCAAAAGTATCACCCGACACTTCAAAGAAAGTCCAAGCTGGTGCAAAGATTCCTGCCGAAGTTTTTCCATGTTTAATAGCTTCTAGTGCCTGCTCGTATCCATAACAATAATATTTTCAATAATAAACATCAACAAATTAGTAAGTCAGCCAAAGGTCATTAAACTTAAAAAAGATTAAGGAATTTATAGATTTGAATCACCAAAAAAGTATTAAATCCACCACCTCCATAGGTTCCACGCCCATAGGTATCAATACCAGTATAAACATCACGGTTTCTTGGGCCAGCTGCCATAGCAGAAAATGCAGGACCATTTTTATCATACCAATAATTGGTAAATAGCCCATCACACACATTGAAAAAAGAAATGTTTTTATCATTTAATATATTCTGATATTTTATTTGTCCTGCTGTTGTTACAGAATCATACCTATTAATTAGAAAAGTTCGTATCTTGTAAACAATGATGTTGCTAAAAAATATACCGTAAAATTCTCAAACTAACGGGCATCTGCGCGTTATTTCGAATATGTCCATTGGCGTTGTATTGAATTAATAAATAAATTTTGCTGATTGACACAATAAGCAAAAGTTATACGGCTGTATTAGTCAATCTTCATGATTGACTGACTGACATAATAAAAATTGTCCGCACAAGTATTTTATTATGAAAGTTAAACAACATACGAGCAGAATTATTATTAAAATAAACGTTAATCCGGGACGTACATGGGCGTTATTTTAAAACAAACTATATTATTTCTAAATAATGCCCATGTCCATTATTTCGAGAATTTACGGTAATAAAAAATAAACGAAATAATTTAAAAATCATTACCAAATAACCAAAGAATTAGGTACATTTTTATGCATTTCTTGAGTTAAATATTTCAACCATTGAATAAGTTGTCGTGCAGTCCTTTCTCCTCCAAGCAAACCAGATTCAATGTTAATAAACCACCCATCAAATTTATAATAAACAGCCATTTGAACTACGTTATGTTTAAAAGCAAATAAAATATTGGTTAAAAAGTTTGAAAAAAAATAAAAATAGATAAGTAAACACACACCAAATTTATCAGCAAAAAACGGGTTAAAACCATCCTTATTTATCTGACCATCCGGTCCACGTACTAATAATTCCATGTCACTAGAACCCGATGCGCCTTCTGTAATAAAATTTCCAAGTACCCTTGTGCCATTTCTATGAGCTGCATTAACCCACATTGTAGGCGGGATTTCAACACGATGATGAGAAAAACTTAATATTTTTTTTTTAGTGTACATATATATACATAGAATAATTATAATTATCGAAAAAAGATTTTATAAAAAGAATAAAAATATAAGAACTCACTAAACAAATGAATCCACAAATTGCCAATATTGAATTCGATATTGACCAAATTTGAAGTAATCATGAAATTCTGTAATCAATATATAAAAAATTTTACTAAGTATAAATAAAAATCTTTAATAAATT